CCTATGTTAAGACTCTTTAATGTCACATTTTTCTTTTTCTGGTCTGTGGGACGATTTGAGGCATTCACTGAACGCCCCTGGTAAATGAAGGTCGAAGAATTCAGGTCTTTTTTAAACTTCTTCATAAGTGGTGCTTTATCTGAGGGGCCATACCTTAAATATGCAAAGAATAATCAAGATAGAATTTTGTCATAATATTATGAATACATTGACGCCCCAGTTATATGGTCTCGGGACTCGAGACAACCCTCCCCGAGGCAACTTTATTGAGTATTTAGATGTGAAAACGTTGTCCCTGTAGTCCGAGTCAAAGTTGACCCTGGATGATCATTCATAACCCTTGTTGAACAATCAAATGTGCAAATATCCCTCTTCTCTCTTCTTTCAGTTTTCCTCAGTCATTTGATCAAAGTGACTTTTGCAGAGTTAATTTTCACTTCTTTGATACAAATTTCTGCTTTAAATCCTAAATTCGTGACACTCGCTATGCTAGGAATTGCCTTGGTTAGGCAAGCCAAAGTGTTTATATCAAGAAAAGTTGTCCTGCCTGCCAGGGTTACCCTACCTGCCAAGGTGAAACAACTTGCCCACTGGAGTTGTCTTGGCCCTCTTGTAAATGGTTGGTTGAATTTTGCAAAGAAATAAGTGAAAAGTTTCCTCGGCTAGGGTAACTTGGGGGAAGGGTTGTCTCGGGTAACTGAGACCATAGAAATAAGACCTTAGTCAAAAGGGTGGGTGGTGAAAGTAAACGAAAGTCATCAANATTGTATTGTGTAACTTGTTGTCCACTGTATGAGATGACAAGTTCCCAGATCATGTGTTCTGAAGGCATCCGCAGTTGAGTGTCAAGCGATACTTTCGATTGACCCTCAATCAACCCTTGGTCGATATCTTGATTGACACTCAATAGACATCTTGATAAATACTTCACTGACACTACACCAACACTTGATCGACATTTCAACTGACAATTGATTGACAGTCAGCTGATAGTTGACCGAGTGTTGACTGAGTCACATGTATTGATCGACACTTGATAGCATGTCTACGAAAATTAGTTGATTCTCAATCGACTGTTGCCTGAGATGTTGATTGAGTGTTGACTAAGTATCGATTGAGATGTCAATCAAATGTTGATTGAGATGTCGATCGAGTGTCGATCAAATGTCAATCAAGGGTATTGATCAACACCTGGCTGCGGATGCCTTTAGTGCACATGATCCAGGTTCCCTACATAGTCATAGATCTCTGTGCTTTCATGAACATTTCCATTTTGCAACTAAGTGGGTGATTATGATTATTTGATGGGAAGTCCACTAAAACTCATAAGTCATCAATGAAAGAAACAATCACTAAAAAATATTATTCTTACATTTGAACTTTTCTTTGGTGGTAATTTCTGGACAATTACACCAATTGTTACCCAGTCTCCATCAATATCATTATTCCCTTTAATCTTNAAGTTCCCAGATCATGTGTTCTGAAGGCATCTGCAGTTGAGTGTCAAGCGATACTTTCGATTGACCCTCAGTCAACCCTCGATCGACCTCTTGATTGACACTTAATAGACATCTTGATAAATACTTCATCGACACTAGACCAACACTTGATCGACATCTCAACTGACAATTGATTGAAAGTCAGTCGATAGTTGGCCGAATGTTGACTGACTCACATGCATTGATCGACCCTTGATAGCATGTCTATGAAAATTAGTTGATTCTCAATTGACTGTTGCCCGAGATGTCGATCGCATGTTGACTAAGTATCGATTGAGATGTCAATCTAATGTTGATTGAGATGTTGATTGAGTGTCGATCGAATGTCAATCAAGGGTATTGATCAACACCTAGCCGCAGATGCCTTTAGTACACATGATCCAGGTTCCCTACATAGTCATACAATGTAGATCTCTGTGCTTTTATGAACATTTTCATTTTGCAACTAAGTGGGTGATTACGATTATTTGATGGGAAGTCCACTGAAATTCATAAGTCATCAATGAAAGAAAAAATCACTAAAAAATATTATTCTTACATTTGAACTTTTCTTTGGTGGTAATTTCTGGACAATTACACCAATTGTTACCCAGTCTCCATCAATATCATTATTCCCTTTAATCTTTGTCGGTATCTGTGAAATCATCACCATCCTACGACCCTCCATTCTTTTCTCCATTA